TGGAGGAGCAGCAGGGGAGCGATAGAGATAAATGAAGGCTGGAGTAAAACGGTGTGAGTCACAAGTGCACTTGCATTTCTACCCATGTGCTGCATATACTGTACCCTGCAGCAGACAATCCCTCCTCACTGAAACGTGACTGTAGTGTGTGTGTGTGTAGCGAGGATGGTGGCAAGAAAGAGAGAGAGAGAGAGAGGGAGGGAGGAGGATAAAAAGAGAAATCCATGAGTGTGAGGAAAAGCAGAGGGAGGGAGGAGAGGAGCGGCAGACTTGCTGGGAGGAGAGGAGGGAAGGATGTAGGGGGGGTGGGGGACTGCTGATCACTGCAGTAAAGGAATCCCTCGTCTAGAAAGGGGGGTTGCCCCTCGACTTCACCCTCCCTCCCTCCATATCTCCCTCCATCTCCGTCTTACTCACGCTGAATCCTGATGTGCTGCTTTTGATCTTCTCTCAATTCTCATCTGCACTGCGCTTTAACTTCCGCTGCATTATCATCATCATCATACCACATGTGTGCCTTTTCCTTCAATTAAAAAAAAAACCCCAGTCCTCAATTTAAAATCTCGCTTTCAGTGTGGTAAATGCACAGCAAGCGGGGACCTAATAGATTATACAGTTTGTACCTGTGGGGATGAAAATAATAATTTGATACACTAAGGGAAATATAAGGCTTCTTGAGAGCAGCCCAGGGTGTGTGCTACATGCCGAGTCCTCCCCTGCTCTCACATAACGTAGTAACGTGCAAGATGTATGGTATTGATCTGCAGTAAAGATTAATCATCCTCAAACAGTAAGCCAGTAACAATCTCACAAAGATGGAAAAAAAAAAAAAACCACCACACATTCATACTGAGGGACTCAACACAGCCTTTGAAAGTGCTGCAGCTCTACCCTCTATCGATATCTGTGCGCCCGTTTCCCTTTTCTGTGGAATTCCAGCAACATAATGACATTCCTGTGCTCATTTCCGTCCAGATTACGTATGTGGAGAAATTTGCTAAATGTGTTTGGCTCCTCCTCCTCCTCCTCCTCCTCCTCCTCCTCACACAGATTCTACTGTTCTGATTCAACAAACTGTTAGCAGAGCTGCTTTGGGGGTGGATTGAAACTACTGCCAGTGTTGTTCAGCCAAAGAAAAGAAGAAGGGAACTGGGTTATTTTAAGAGTTCTGTGCAACTGACAAAATGTATGATGTCTTCTGAGGTTAACTTTCTATTTGAATACACAAACACCCACTCTATATGTAGTATATCAGTGGTTCCAACCTTTTTTTTTCCCTGACGTACCCGCACAGTCCTGCTAGATGAACTCAACTGAACTAGTTACCATTAACAATGATAATGGAAGTAGATATTTTGTTAGCCTACAATAATGCTTTCATACATATGCTCTGTCAATGTTTGGTTCAATGTTCATCTCTTATGCGTTATGTGTATGAATCTCATTGCTTTTCTTGGCAGGACACCCTACATAGCACTGGGATTGGCCAGGCACCCATGCTCATGTGAGTGGGTAAATAGTTCATTAGCTTTAGCATCTATTTCAACCATTTATTCATTACTTATAGCTAACTGTTTTAGACCTGTCTAGTGGCTTGCTAACTAGCTTTCACTCATTCTTCTAGCAATACATAGTGTTTAGGCTGACTCAATATATGGATATATATTTTTCAGTCACTTACAGTAGTAATTTTATTAATTTTTTTATTAATTGAGCTGCTCTACAATCTTTCCACATAAAAAAAACCAACCAAGGGTAAAATTGCCCTTGGTTGTGAATCACATCAGTACATACATGGACCTACGCTTCTTTTAGCTTTGTTCTTATGGCTGGATCTGAACAGAAAAGAAAAACACAGCAGTTTAAAAATCTCTTCTTCAGAAAACATCCTTTTATCTCCAGACATACCACAGGAAAATTCTGGGTGCCGAGCGTGGCATAAAGTGTGTCTGTGTGTGTTACAAACACCAGCGCTGAGAAATAATGTCGCTGACATAATTCCCATTTCGCGGTGCCCTTCTGGGGGAGTGGACCCTCGGCCATTTATCTACACAATGACTGCATCCATCTATGTGGTAAATGCGCTGTCCTGGGCCACTGCTACGGACCAGATAACCTGGGTAGTCACACAAAGTCATTCATAAAATCAG